CGTTGGAGGAACACCGGTTACTATTAGCAACACTGCATACTGGGTTAGTCCCAAAAGCGCAAACGACCATCCTAGAGATAGGTGGTCATGGGAAAGAGGGTGAGTGCAAGTGTGGGGCACATTCACATCAGTCCCCTAACCCTCCAGGGGCGTACAGTCTAAGGTCCCTAGCTCACATTCATTCATACACATAGAAAAGCCAATTTAGACCATATCAAATTAACCTACCAGCATGTCTTTTTAGTGTGGAAGGAAACCAGAGTACCTGGAGGAAACCTACGCAGGCACAGGGAGAACATGCAAACTCCAGGCAGGTGGTGCCATGGTTGGAATTCAAACCAACTATCCTAATACTGCCAGGCGGCAGTGCTAACCATTTAGCCACTGTGCTGACCTTATTCTCAAGTACTGAGACTGAATAACTAATACCAGTTTAAAAAGTGTTTTATTTAGTGGCACAAGTTATTTATTATATATTTATTTATTTATTGTCACAAAGTTAAATTTTTTGCATGGTTTATGCACGGTCCATATGGTATTTACTAGCCACTATGCTGTCAATAACATTGAGTGGAATATATAGTAGTACTATGATTCAAGAATTAAAATATATAATTATAAGTAGATATTATAAGAAAATATGAATAAGACATTAAAAATTATTTGTCATATAACAGAGATATAAATATTATGGATTTGAAGGGGAACCCCTTAACCAAAAAAAAGTGTGGCTGCCCCCCAAAAAACACATATAAACATACAATATTATTAGTTCAGGTACTTACATAGCACCATCAATTTACACAGCACTTTACATACATATTGTACATTAACATCAGGCCCTGCCTTCAAGGAGCGTACAATCTAAAGTCCCTAACTCACATTCATGTACTAGGGACAATTTAGAGCCAAAACAAATACCAGCATGGGAGGAAACCCACACAGGCAGAACATGCAAACTCCTTGCCTTTAGTACCATGGTTGGAATTTGCACTGGCAACCCTAGTGCTGCTAGGCAGAAGTGCTGACCACTAAGCCACAATGCTGACTGCAATACTATCTACAATATATAGTAGTACCATGATTGAAGAATTAAGATATATACTTATAAGTAACTATTATAAGAAAATTCAAATTCAACATTAGAAATTATTTGTCATATATCAGAGATCTAGCTGTAATGATTAGATATATATTTACCATCAGAAAATAGTATGCATTACTCTAACATTCATTAAAAAATGCATTTATTTGCAGAACATGTAAAAAAACGGTACAAAACAAGAAAGAGAATTAATAATAAAATTAGCATTAAAAGAAAGCAAACAACAAATCACATCTGCCAATTGTTCCTAGAAAGAAATGGGGAAAATGGGATCCTGGCTTCCCTGCCCTCTAGGGACCAAGTTTAGAAATGCCTATTTTGTAAACATGACTATTCCAATTCAACAATTACTAATAGACATGTTCCTTTGTGAAGATGTTTTTCTGTTCACCACATCAAGGTCTTAACTGTGGAATTTAGGTGGAATTTGGTGTCTAACTTCTATTGCTTCACCTCATTCTTAGTAAATCAGCTCCTATGAGCCAGGCTTAATTGCTTGAATCTGTTAGGAGGGAGTCATGCAGATAGCAGAGAGAGGAGAAATTAGAGAATGTGCACGTTAATGCACACTATAATGGGATATGCATTGTTCATTTTTCATTTTTGAGGTTTAAATGCACCATTTATTACCATTGAATACATATTTTAATTAACACTGTATTCAATTGTATATAATTATTGAAAGCATGACTCAGCAAAAGATAGCCAGCTAGATACTGTTTATTATTTCAGCTCTACCAGTAAAGCACCACCTGTAGAATATTCGTCTCTGACTGGATATGTATTATCTTCACATACTGTATACACAGACCTATTGCTTTTCCAAGACAATTTGAGACATTGTAATTGCCTCTGACCAGTCTGGGCAATGTTGCTCCAAGTATGTTGTTGCAGTATATTGGTCCCAATCAGATCTACAGGCTTTTCTAAACAGTCTTAGTCACCCAGATAATTCTATGAATAGAAGCAGTATATTAAGTAATTGAGCTTCAGTACCATCTTTATATTTCAGATGTGGGCCTATTAATTCAGCAATAACATTATTATTACTTACAATACAAATGTGAAGCATTTTTTGTGGGGGGTGAGGGGAACAATACTTTATTTTTTGGGTACAGTGATTTATTTATGAATAACATTGTAGCTGTTAACTTTCACTTTTGAAAAACCATTTTTACTTTGCAAAATGAATATTGGTGAATTAAGTGAAGATGTTTTTAATTTGACTACCCAGTCATGTGCTTGCAAAAAATGTGTTCTGTTGTTTTCATTTGCACCATGATTGAGCATTCAAAATTAAATAGGGAGAGGAAGATATTCTAGTTAATAACTAGTTAATAAAGAGTTAAATAGTAAAAAAAAAAAAAACTGTTTTCTTCTTTCAGGGTTTCTTCAGCAATTCCTGTGGTAAAAAAAAAAGCATGCGTTGGAATTACATGGTCACAGAGTTACAAAAGCTACAATGTCAGCATTTAGATTTAAATTTTTCTCTTTCAAGTATATATTTATCGTAGTTTTCGAGAGGTTTACAAAGTTAGGAAACAAGTGGACATTGCCACCAAATATGGAGATACGTGCTCTATTCTGAACAGCGATAAAAGCACAATGCCACATAGGTACATAGGTGGCGATTTGGGATGGAACCAAATACCATCTAGTTATATTACTGTGTATTCCTTTTTTAACCTGACAAGGCTGTCTCTGCCTATGTCTGATCAGCACTTTGGATGTCAAACTTACAGCAGGTACTAGTGGCTAAACATGGGTGTGGACTAAGCAAGAAAGAGATTAAGGCTGGATCATACTTCCCAAAATCCTAACTGGTTAAAATGGACTTATTACTAAAATCACACTTTATATGGTTCATGACTGTACCTGTCAGCATTAATATTATTGTCTTCCTGGACCATTAGAAATATGGAGAGTTCTTTGCTTTCGCCCTGTCTTACAAACTTTCAGTAGGATAAAAATATCAAGCAAAGATTACTGAAAAGTCTGCATATGCAAGTAAAATAGTAAATACAACCACCCACAGAACATACAACATAGAAAATTGACTGCAGAAAAGAAAGACCAAGTGCTCTAATGAGTCTTCCCCATTTTTTATTTTCTTTATACCTACTGTATGTTTTTTTTTTTTTTTTTTTTTACTATTTGTCTGAATATAGATCTATGTTTGTCCCAAGCATGTTTGAATCCACTTACTATTTACTGACTCACTGCCTCTGCTGGAAGTCTATACTATGCGTCAACTACCCTTCTGGTAAAATAATTTATAAGATTTAAATGCTCTGCTGAAATAAGATTTCATTAGTGATTATCATCAGTACTATACTAAAAACATTAACATTAGTCAAAAAAATTCAATCAGTTTAGCCTGACATAGTCAACCCTCACTAGAGCCATGCTGCTTTGGGACAGCAAGTTGTTTTTTAAGTGATCAGTGATCTTTCTTTTCAAGGGTGATTCCCTTAACTTGACTACGACAGATGTTAAACTCACTGGCCTGTAATTGTCAGCTTCTACCTTGCTGCCCTTCTTGTGGATAGGTGTAATATCAGCTGTCGGCCAGTCATGGGGAACTTCTCCTGTTAGAAGAGATTGAATAAAAAGATCAGTTAATGTTCCAACAACTATACCTCAAAGTTCTCTTTAGAACTCTTGGGTGAATATTATCAGGGCCTGTTGCTTTATCAAGTTTTAGCCGAGTTAGTCTCCAGAAAGTCTGAAAATGAACCTTCATTGCTAGAACCAATATGAACCCCCAACTTGTTAATACAATTTATCCCGAGAAGACAGAACAGAAGGTTTGCCACATCCAGGTTTTCAGTCAACATGAGTGTTGAGCCCAGTTTTGATCTAGTGATCCTGGTGTATTTTTTCCTTCCGTCGCTGATGTACCTGAATAAGGTTTTGTCTCCTTATTAATATATTTAGCCATTTCCTCCTCTTTCTGAGCTTTGGTAGCACTGATAATGTGTTTGACCTCCTTTTCTCTATTTTTATACACTTCTCTATCAGCTACACTTTCTGTTTTCTTAAATCTCCTATATGCTGATTATTTTCTTCTTCTTTAGTGATCCATATTGGATTTTTTCCCTCCATTTTCTCTTACTAAATTGAATGACAAATAATCTAGTTGCTCCAGAATGGTAAACTTTAACAGTGAGCACAGATTACTGACTCCTGTTGTTTTACTCCAATCTTCTAATTCATTGTTTAGAAATTCACAGAAACAGGGTGTTAAAAACATACAAACCCTAGTAAGATTTTTTACATATAAGGATATTAAACCCATGAACAAAAATGTAATATATTGCAGCTTTCCAGTCCTTACACTTCAATCAGATCTTTTAATGCAAAAAGGATTTAAGGATGTTGTACTCCTTAGAGAAATTTCACACTGCAAATGCTGGGCAAACCAACATGTTCACTTTACAGGATGTACCCATTGCATTACATGCCTCCGTGCCTGGGCTTTGCTTTAACCACAAGCCTACAGGGCACTTATACCCCCTTCCTGCCCAGCCAATTTCCAGCTTTCAGTGCTGTCACACTTTGAATGACAATTGCGCGGTCATGCAACACTGAAATTTTTATCATTTTTTTTAGACTGATAGAGCTTTATTCCGGTGGTATTTAATCACCTCTGGGTTTTTTATTTTTTCTTAAACAAACCAAAAAACACTGAAAATGTTTTTAAAAAAGCATTTTTTTCTTAGTTTTTGTTATAAAATTTTGTAATTAAGTGCTTTTTCTCCTTCACTGATGTGTGCTAATGAGGCTGCAGTGATGGGCACTGATAGGCTGCACTGATGGACACTGATAGGTGGCACTGATGGGCACTGATGAGGAGGCACTGGTAGGTGGCACTGATGGGCATTGACAGGCATCACTGATGGGCACTGAAAGGCAGCACTGATATATGGCACTGATAGGTGGCACTGATAGGCAGCACTGTTAGGCAGCACTGACTGGCACTGTTAGGTGGCACTGACTGGCACTGATAGGCGGCAATGACTGGCACTGATAGGCGGCACTGATGGGCACTGATATGTGGCATTGATGTGTACTGGTTGGCACTGATATGTGGCATTGATGTGGCACTGATGGCCACTGGCAGCTGGCACTGATGGACACTGACAGGCGGCACTGCTGGGGCTACACTGATCATCAGGGCACACTGATCATCAGTGCTCTGATGATCAATGTACATGTCCCCTCCCCTCCGTGGAATGCCGATTACCGGCTCTCCTCTCCTCTCGAGCTGTCAGCGTGACAGCTCGTGAGGAGAGAAATGCTGATAACCGGTAACCAGTAAATTACATGTGATCAGCTGTGATTGGACACAGTTGATCACATGACCGAGCAGACATCTTCTGCTATTTCTGTGGATCGGTGATCCACTGTGTCCGAGGGACACAGCGCACCGCCGATCAGCGCGCTGCGCACTCCCTGAGCCGCGCATGCGCAGTGAGAATGGGAGGACGTCATATGACGTCCTCCCAGAATGAGAGAACCACCATGCGCTCGTCATTGGACTATATGGCGGCGGGAGGTGGTTAAATGGGGGGGTGTTCACAACAATGTGCAAGTTTCCACTTGCTTGGCCATCTGAGCCCTCATGCACACATGACTTTAAAAAAAAACTCTCCTAGAAGCCTTCCTTCTGGCAACAGAGTTTTTGCAGAAAAAACACCTGGCGATTGTAAAAGTGTCTAACGCTTTTACAAGCATCAAGTGCTTGGGAAATTAATTCATTTAATTGGCTTGAATAATAATTAAGTCTGGCCATTAAATGAATTAATGCTCAAGAGCTACATGCACATAGCATCAGTGTGTTTAGGCGTGTATATACACGTAAAGCATGTTTTCTGCCAAAACGCTCTGGATTTTTTTCTCCTGCCTGTAAACGCTTCTACCACTAATAGATCCTAAAAATCTGTATGTGCATGAACACATAGGATAACATGGAGAGCCATTTACAAGCACTAAAAAAAAATGTCTGATGCCCCTAAAAGTGGCTGAAAAAATGCCCTGTGTGCATGATATCTGAAGCTTTGACAGGAACCTCATACAGTCTGGCAGTGGATATCTACAGTGGTGAAGGACAGGAAAGGTAAGTACAGTATGGACAAGGTGTCAAATTACTGTAAAGTAAGAGACTTCAAAGCCATTGTGGATTTTACTAACAGGAATGTATTTACCATGCAATATTTTATACTGCCACCATGAAATATATAGAAGATATTAGTAGTCATAAATGTACGAGGGGCATTCAAGTCAAACGGGACTTTTGATTTTACAGATATAAAAAGATATGCTAGTGTGGTGATTCTACGCGCAGTAGTAAGTGGCAAATGTGTGCTATTATTGATAGGTAACACACATGTCCCCATTCCAGAGACCATTAATCAAGATGGCAGACAACAGTGTTAGTGCATGCATGAAACAGCATGTGGTGATGAAGGAGTAAAATCCACAAATATCTACAGAAGACTTCAATCACAGTACGATGATGAGACACTCAGCCACAGAAAAAAACATTTGAATGGTGTATACATTTCAAAGATGGTTCCCATGGTGGTGGTTCCCAGCCCACAGCAGTAGTACAATAAATACCAATGTTATTGCTGCTTATATATTTATGCTGCAATATATGGAGGTAACATGAACTGTGTCTCTGTATAGGGTAAGCGCAATTTTAGCACCTGATTTTAAATCTGGAATTATATAACAATATATGTGATACTTCTGTAACACCCTGCTATTATTCAGACTGCAAGATTTTAAAAAAGGCAGTGTCCAAAAACTCAGTGGCACACATCCTAGTTTCACTAGCTTTATGGATTTTGGAGGCTGGACTTTGTTAGAAGGCTGCTAATTGGGAGATTACATTTCCCAGAAGGCATATAAATGTAGAAGCCCAGGAACAGGAGCAGGAAGAGAGCTGGAAGGAAGGTGTGAGGAGAGAGCTGTGCGGAATGGACCAGGCCACAGAGAGAGGGAGGAACAGACATCCGCCGCCATTGCCAAAAAATTCTGGAGAACTACCCTGTCGACCGGTGACCTGGAGTGCTGCAGTCAGGAATTAACTCTATGTGAGGAACCTCTGGGGACCCCCCATCTACAATGAAACCACTAGCGAGTCAGATGATGCCACAAATCGGGTGAGAAAATCCCAATTTCCAGCCAATTAAGTTGTCACTGACATTGTCTTGCATCAGCCGTTCTCTATACTGTTAATGACATTGTTCACCAGTTAAAAAAGTTGAGATCTAGTTCACTCGGCCTATTAGCAAACACATCTCCAGCATAATCCAGTCAACAGAGCCTGCTGCAGTGTCCACCCTCTGGGTGCAAGCCACCCCACTGTTTTCCCTACAATTGGCTTGTATCCATCAAGGGACACTTGTCATTGTTTTCATGTACTACTGCATCCTAGAGAGGAATTAATCCATTGTTAATAATTGCCTCTGCCCACACCCTAAACCTCATGCTAAATGCCTGCATTTCATCTTGTGCCTTAAGGGGGCACTGCCCAAGTTAAATACCATTTAAAGGGATAGTGACTGTGTTTGCAAAAATTCTATTGAGAGACTTCCACCTGTTGCAACCAAAGAGATCTGAAATATTGTAGTGCACCAACTGGGCCCCAGAAAGCATGCAGAAGACCTTTCACTGCAGTTAAAGGGACTTTAGCCTTCCTAATTAAAGAGCTCTTTCTTCATCTCAGATTAGAACCTTGTTTGTCATCAGCTTCTGAGGGGCCAATGTGAGCCAGCCTTATTCTTTAGTAGTTCTCCTTTGCTCACTGGGGACAGAAACCTCTCAGAGTTAAGGCACTTGGTTAAATTCTGATTTGCAGGATGTCCAGAACTGATTAAGCTTTTTTCTGTATGTGTTGAGCTGTGCTTAAAGTTTTACTAAGAGTAATAACTTATTTTTTACATGCCTAATATACTTTTGTACCACTTTACTGTGCTCATACTCAACTCTAATATAAGCAACTATAATATAAATTGTTCACTCTAACGTGTGTGTTGGTCCATTTTCTGGTAAAATTGAGAGAGTTTACTCTGTCTCAAGGTGTACGGTGGTGTCAGCAGGGGTTGGGCTTTCAGGGTGGGGTCAAAAGTGACAGAGTCCCCAAAAATAACTCGGCGACCATTAAGAGGGTAGTGATACACTTCCATCCGATTATTGTGAGATGCATTACCTGATCTTATTTAACCGATTCCCGTCTGCTGAAAGCTTATAGACGGTCGGATGAGAGTAGCACTGAAGCGGGCAAATGTAGTGGAACATAAGCCTGCATCTGAAGTTCATGCGCGACTCCTAGAGCGTGCACCTGTGAGCTGTGTAATCTCTGTGTTGCCCAGACACAGCAGATCACGTAACATGGTATAGGACCAATGAAATCCATCCTATACCACATGATCCAATGTGTCCAATGAAGACACAGTCTAAATGTAAAGACGAGCCGCACGGTGCGGCTTCCGACTCCTTCTCCTCACACAGATATCTGCATGTGAGAGGAGAAGGAGCCGTTTACAACAGTCAAAGTAAGATTATACAGTTACAGCATCATCAGCCACTGTTCCTGATCACTGCCCATCTTTCATCAGTGCTGCCATACCAGTACCCAAATCAAATGAGTGCACTAATCATCTCCCTACCTGATCACGGCCATACCCTTTGGTTCCTGATCATTGCCATGCCAGCTTGGTTCCTGATCATTGCCACATTAGCTTGGTTCCTGATCACTGCCACGGCACCTGGTTCCTGATCACTACCACGCCAGCTTGGTTCCTTATCACCGCCATGCCTGCTTGGTTTCTTGATCACCGCCACGTCAGCCGGTTCCTAATCACTGCCAAGCCAGTCCTGATCACTGCCATTCCAGGGGGTACTGATCAACACCCTCGTCGTAACTCTGAGTAATTTTCAGTCTCTGCACACAGTTTAGATACACACACACATAACATTGCCAGCTAACTCACGTTGTTCCTGATCTTTGTCCAACAGTGTTTAGTGTGAACCATGCCCGCAGGACCTGATCACCGCCATACCAGCGGGTCCAGATCGCCACCATACCAGCAGGTCCTGATTGCCACCATACCAGTGGGTCCTGATCACCACCATAGCACAAGGTCCTATCACCGCCATACCAGGGAGAGTTTGATCAACACCATTGTCTGTGATAATAGAATGATTAGAGGTAACTGTGAGTAATGTTCAGCCTCTGCAAACAGTTCACACACACAAAACTTTTCCAGCCAGCTCACAGTGTCCCCGATCTCTGCCCAACAGTGTCTATTGTGAACTATACCAGTGGGTCCTGATCACTGCCATACCTGCTCACCACCCTCTTCTGTGATGAGTGAGAGAGTGATTACAGCAAGCTGTGAGTAATCTTCAGCCTCTGCACACAGTTTACACACACAAAAAACATTGCCAGCCATCTCACGGTGCCCCTGATCTCTGCCCAACAGTGTACAGTGTGAACCATACCAGCAGGTCCTGATCATCACCATACCAGTGGGTCCTTATCACCGCCACACTAGTGTTAACACACTGTCAAAAAAAGCCTACACTAGTGAGGAAGCATTTCAAATTCTGAGCATGATGGATGAGAGTAGCAGGGAACTTACTGTCAGACTCGGATTCAGAATATGGACCTGTAGACAGCAGCAGTTCAGAATCTGATTCAGAAGAAAAGCTTCCAACTAAAAGAATGAGGCTTTCCAAGGAGCAGCAGGCAACAACCAGCAGCTCAATACCTCCCTGTAACATGGCTAGCACTAGTAGTGCAGTTCATCCATCACATCCACGTCAGCCACCAAGGATGAGGGCCCATACCGCTGTCCCAGGGGCACTTTTAAACCCTCTGTGGCTAACTTCAGATTCAGCAGCACCTATAATCCCCCCATTTGTAGCCCAGCCAAGCATTCAGGTAGAAACTCAAAATTTTGATACCATTGATTTTTTTTTATTTTTTTTTTTTTTTAAAAAAAAAAGAATCTTTATTGGGTTTTCAATTATACGAAACCTGAGCAGGTTAAATATTCCAAGGATGTATCTCAGCAACATAGCATCTTTAGTAGTTGTACTGACATAATAACCAACACAGGCGATAGTAATAGATTTGTATAGATAATCTAAACAAAGAAATTCACCAAGTATGTGATATCTCTGAAGAGTTTTCAGAATAGGAAGAGAAGTCAGTTGTTTGCAGCAGTATCATGAGGAAAATCTGAGCAGAGATTCTGAAAAAAAAAAACTGTTTAGAAAAAAGAAAAAGGAGAGTGGTGTTGTGAGTCAGAGATGTAGAAGGATGCATAAAGGTATGCGAGAATGTACCCTG